CTTTGACCCAAATGTCTGATTTTTAATAAATATTCACTAAAATGCCAATATAAGGCCACGGATATGTATACCTTTCTATTTTTGACACATTTACACTAGCCAGGCTGGCGTCACCTAGTGCCTCTGCTCAATTTCATTTCTCTCCAGTGACTAGGTCAGGAATCAGAATAAACTAGACTGTTTGCAAAAACCCCGGAAGTGTGAATCCAGGCACCAGCCAATTAGTGAAGAGCCAGACATTCTGTGTTGGCAATGACTCCCGAGGATTTAAAGCCAGAACAAAGAGAATGTTTGGTGAATTTTATCAAGGGGAAAGACGTTATTGCCCTTTTTCCTACGGGATTTGGGAAAAGCTTAATACAGCAGTTAGCCCCATTAGCGGCGCATTACATACGTCACGACCAAATAGCAGCGATTGATTAAATAAAAAAAGTACCCGCCTACCATCGAGCCAACGAATCTTAATGCTGGGAGGTCAGACGGTTTCCATGAGACTATAGGTCTGCGCGGGACAGAATTTTCAGTCCCGCTCCCGCCCACAAATCCCGCAAGATGGGGACGTTCGCTTTCTTAAACTCTATCAAACACAGAAAACCGGAAAGGAATTGTCTAAAACAGTGGTCTAACAGTGTCTAAATCCTGTTTTAGTCCCGTTTTAGCCCTGGTTTTAGACCTGTTAGACCTGGTTTAGTTCTGGTTTAGCCCATGGGAGTGCAGGGCTTTAAATCAGGTTACACTTACATAGAGAATCAGTAGAAAAAAGTTAATTTGGTGTTTAGTGGCACTTTAAAACAGCTCTAGTTTACGTGTATTCAATTACAGGTGGTTTTATGGCTCAAAAACACCTAGAAAAACAGACATTCTGACTGTGAGCGGGTTCGCCTCTCCACAAATCTGACCTGTAACTTGGTCTGGTTTGGTCTCCATGACGATAGAAAGGTTTAATACCACACTTTGAAACACTCCAGACAAAGCAAGCAACATCTCCATGGAGAAAAGCATTTGACGGACCCTCCACCAGAAAAGTTACACACTGCACCTTTAACGACACAAAGCAGCGACGAAACCCTAACCTATCACATATAACTTGACGAACACTAATATAAAAATATAAAAACAGAAACTTAACGCAAACATAGAATAACCAGGTGGTGTGTATTCTACAAGTACATTTGTCAAATTTTAACCCTTGAAAATTTTAATCGTTTTTTAGATACAACAGTCTGAAAGTGGCTCTTTGGAAAACTCGGCTCAAAACAGGTCAGAGCAGAGTTGACAAAATATTTTTTAATGGCAAAACTATAAGGAGTTGGGAGCGAGAAGTGTGTGAACCTCCTAGAATTTTTTTTTTTTCAGGCAAATCTGAGATGGTCGAGCGTAGGTGTTTGGAGATTTGGCGTGGAATGACTCATCTAGTTTACATTTATTCACTTACAGATGGTTTTATAGCTCAAAAATACCTAGAAAAACAGACATTCTGACTGTGAGCGGGGTCACGTCTCCACAAATCTGATCTGTAACTTGGTCTGGTTTGGTCTCCATGAAGATAGAAAGGTTTAATACCACACTGTGAAACAAAAAGCAAAAGAAAAGCACTTGATGAACCCTTCACCGGAAAAATTACACAATGCACATTTAACTATAAAAAATTTCCAGCAGTACGTGTAGGCGCAGTCATAATCTTGATAAATACACATAAAACCATCGTGACATAACTCTTTTCGGTTATAATACGACTAAACTTTCCTTTTATTAAACCGAGTCTCGTCTCTCTGTGATTCCACACCGGCTCACAAAGGCCCTCATTCACTCTCGCGTTACTCGATGCCTCTGGGTGAAGTCTGGATCTGTGCAGACGGGAAAGTAGCGACCCGATAAAACCAAAAAAAAAACAAAAAACTGTAAACCCGTCGTATCTGTATCTGCTCCTTCCAACCAGCTGGGCCAGTTCACAGCCTCCGCCCGTTAGAATGGGGTCAGCCGAGGCCACTGTTACCGTCTGACACGCGGTTCTACCAGGAAATAAGGGACAGTTGGTGAGTCATTATGGAAAAGTCTTGGGTTAGGTGTTGTAATATTATCTATTTTAAGCTCCACACGGTTTGTTGACGTAGTAGTAATTAATCAAAATACCTGCACACACCACCTGGGTCATTATATATTCGTGTTAAGTTTCCCTTTTTGTATTTTTATATCAGTGTTTGTCAAGTTTTATGTGACAGGTAAGGGTTTTTATCGTGAAAAGCTGCATTGTGTGGTTCTTTTCCATCAAATAATTAATTGCTTTGTCCGGAATGTTTCACAATGTGCTATTAAACTTTTTTATCTTCATGGAGACCAAATCAGACCAAGTTACAGGTCAGATCTGTGGAGACTGGAGAAACGACCCCGCTCACTGTCAGAATGTCTGTTTTTCTAAGTGTTTTTGAGCTATAAAACTGATTAAAATTGATTAAATGTAAAGTAGAGCGGTTTAATGTCATACAGTGGAACATTCCAGACAGAGCAATGACATCTCCATAGAAACAAACAGGTGACGACCAAAGAAAAAGCTACATACATACTTAACTTTTCACAAGCATGAACCAAGTTTTAAGAAAATATTAAAGAAATATATTGGAACATGTGCCAGTCAATTATATCCATGTGAAATTATTTTAAGTCTATTTTTAAATTATTTTTAAGCTATTATTTATTATCTGTGTTACCTTTTCCTGCTGTTCTGAAATTGCGCGTTGCAACACTGGAATTTCCCCACTGTGGGACTAATAAAGGCATATCTTATCTTATCTTGAATTTGTATATAATTATATTTAGTCACTAGTTATGCATTGTAATTTATTGGATATATTATAGTTGTAGTAGTGTAGTGTAGTGTAATATACTATGGAACAGAACTGTATGAACTTATGTGAATAGTCTTTACACCAGTAAAGACTAAAAGGAATCCAATAAATAAATACATAAATAAACATAGTGATCCTTTAAAAGCTTCATTTTGAATTTCAGGTGTGCAATAAAGTTAACACATTTTCTCGTAACTTTTTTGTTTCCATTTCATTTTACAAGTGTTATTTCACAGGAGATCACTTTAAGGAAGAAAAACAAAACCAAATGGCTGGGTTTTTTCAATCCTTTACGGCCAGTTTTAACACTTACACAATTCCTGTACTTAAATTTTTTTCCATCTGCCAAACTTCTATCCCATAACACTGAGCTCATCCAATTTTGTTTCATTCTCAGTTTATGTTCAGGTCTCATGTGAAGCCCAGAACCTCCAGAACTCCCTCCCTGAGCTGCAGAGGCTGCACTAGCACTGACTCAGGTTGGCTGTAGGTGCCGGGGTTTAGGTAGTAACGGTTTTCAGAGAAAAGCATTTTAGATTTAAACCAACTTGATTTCAGCTTTGAAACTGGCAACACAAATGGGAGACTCATGTGAGGCTCATTCTGCTTTCTGATTGGATAAAACGTCTCGAACCAAAACATCAAAATATAACGGACAACTTGTCGATTATCTCCAATGTTTTTGTAATTAAGGGTGTGCAAAAATATCAATATATCGTATCGTTTAATGTGATGATACAGTATCGATATCGTGGGCTGCTGTATCGATGTATCACCAAGAGTATTTTTTGGTTTATTTTTACTACATGTGTTTGTTACAGAGCTCCAGTTTTGTTGCTTGTTTAGTGGAAGGAAACTAGTTTATGTGTCACATTTGACATTTTCACTTTCAGTTTTGATGATTAAAATGTTTGTGTTTCATATGAACTTTGCACAAGAAGTGGTTTAACAAAGACTTTTAGTATCACAGACATGGTTTAGCCACTTGTTTTTATAGAAACATATCGAATCACTTTGAAATATATCTATAGCTCTATTTGTAAGAATAAATCTGCATTAGAATTGGCCAATGAGGTTAATTTGGTCGTCCGATATTTTATATTATTAGGGTTTTTTTTACAGACCAAGAGTTTGTTTTCATACCTGATAGTTTCGTGGTCTTCTACAGAGTGGTCAAGAGTGGGCAATAAACAAAAGGAAACAACAGGTTAGAGAGAAAGAAAAACAACCAGAAAAACAAAAATAAAACAGAAAATGAGCACAGGCATGATAACATTACCATACATCAGGGGCATAACAGAAAAAGTGCCGAGGCCGATGAAAAAACACAGTATCAACACACCAGTAAAACCGTACAGAAAACTTAGACAATTACTCGTCCACCCGAAAGACAAAATAGAACCGGAGCATAAATGTAACGTGATTTACGAAATACCCTGCATGTCTTGCAATAAAACACACATCGGAGAAACAGGGAGGGCGTTCAGTACACGAAAAAAGGAACACAGAACAGAACGCGAAGGCGAAAAGACGAGCAACAAAACACAAAGCAGAACAGGAACAACTCAAGTCTGCAATTTCTGAGCACTGTAAAAAAAACACATTATGGACTGAGACGGTGCAAATGTCACTGGGACAGAGGAAAACAAACATCGTCGCTGGATTAAAGAGGAAATTGAAATACAGAAACATGCTCATGGGACGATAAACCGGAACGAGGGGGCTTTTTTACTCTCACACACACCTGGGATACTGTCCTGAGGAGGTCGGGCTGCAGATGGCGCTGTCGTCCTGCCTCCACTGGTAAGAAGACAGCGCCAAAACCTGTTTAAATCAATCCGAGTGACATGCCACAACAACATGACGTAACGAATCTGAAGAAGAGCGCTAGTGAGCAGTCGAAACTGTCAGGTATGAAAACTCTTGGTGTGTAAAAAGTACCTAATAACATACTGCATTAAAACTGTGTGACTAAAAGCAGTATTTGATATAAACATGTGTCCCTCGTATCTGGGGAAGTCATGTTTATGGAATTTAATCAAAATCCTGCTCCTTTTGAACTCCATAATGATCTGCTCTCTGTAAATAAACAGATGGATGTGGACCGCAGTGGCTTTTTCACACATGCACTAACAACGCTCCCGTTTCCTTTAGGTCAACAACTTTGTGGTTTTTGAAGGATTCTTCTTCAACAAATCAGGTACCAACTGTCCTCCGTCGTTTTAACAGGACTTTGTTTAGAGCAGTTGCAGTGATTTTAAACAAAACTAGGACACTCCCACTGAGTACACGGCCAGAGGAAATCAGATAAGCCAATAATTACAGCTGTTTGTGTGTGTTTGTGCGTGTGTGTTTACATGTGTTTATATGTACAACAGAAATCTGATCCTCAAAAAGACCCGGTGACACGTGTCCATGAATCAGCGGGTTTTAAGTTTTATTTATGAAAACAATCTTTACAGTCTTTAATGTTTTTCCTTTGCGGCTTTTCCACATTCGATTGCCCTTTTTTTTTTTTTTTGCTTAATGTCCTTGTCAAAATCTGCACAGAAACAAACCAAAAAATATTTACACTATCAGAAATAAGTTTGGACACACGTTCTCATCCAGTGTTTTTTTAGGTTTACCACTTTATATAGTTTATATATATACAAAATATATATAAAAATGAATGAAGCAAGGGATATGGAATTACGTAGTGAAGAAAAAAGTTAAATAACACAAACGACGAGACAAAATTTCTACAAGACGAGACGAGATACGAGATTGAATCCACGAGAACGAGACTTTATCATAATTCCTAATATTTACATTTCACGATTCAGTTTCCAGTTTTGGCCTCACAATTTTTATTTATTTGATTTCATATTTTGTTTACATTTTAGTACGGCTGTTTTGGAACTGTAAGAAATGTAACTCAACAACACATGGCCTTTTTTTCGTCCAAACCATATGTAAAAATCTCATGATCTTGTGGCAAATGAGATCTTGTCCCATCCCTTCTACTGACTATGATTTCTTTTTATGTTTTTATGATTCAAAACCTCAAAGTATCCACCCTTTGCTTTGTGGTCAGTAGGGGTGGGACGAGATACATTTTCCACAAGATGAGAGGAGACACGAGATTGGATCTATGAGGATGAGACAAGACAAGATTTTTACATTATTATACAGTATTTTTTTAACTATAAGTCGCTCCAGAGAATAAGTCGCGCCAGCCAAAATGCGTCATGAAGAAGAACACAGAAAAACATACATAAGTTGCACTTTTTGGGTGAAATTTATTGTATAAAATCAGCGACCAGGAACCAACATTTCTTCTTAAAAGTCAAGTTCTAGTAAAAACAATAGAAGAGAGAACAACAGACTGTTAACGTCACATATGAACAGTTCTTCAGATAAATTATAACATAAACAACAGAACAGAACAAGTTTAACAAACTCTCCATCTCACTCCAAATCACTAAATCCATTCAATTCTTCATCCTCGGTGTCACTTCTGAACAACTCCACGACCTCCGGAGGTAAACAGCGCCGCTTTCTCTTCCTCTGTTGCACTCGAGTACCGTATTTTCCACACTATTAGACGCTCTCTTAAGCCTCCAACCCCATCAAAAAACGACTGTGCCCCACAATCCAGAGCGCCATATACACGAATTTACTCGGTGTGACTTCAGTAAACTACAAATCCGCACCACTCGCAGAACACGCAAACACACACGGAGCAGACAGCGACCGCACAGCGAAAAACACCCACAGACACACTCATCACTCCACGCCGACGAGGAACGGAACGGAGGAACGAACCGAAAAAGCGAGTGCAATGTGCCACTTGTAGACACAACTGAACAACTGAGTCACTGCGAACACGCCCAGACACACCCTCCCTACACGCCACAACTGAACAAAGCCCAGAGTCACCGTGAACGAACAAACAAACAAAACCACTCACCCATCACACTGTTGTGTTTCCTTTAAAGTCCCACGCGGTTTATTTGTGAAAAAAGTTCGAAAATAGACCATTTAATGACAGTGCGCCTTATAATCCAGAGCGGCAATAGTGCGGAAAATACAGTATAAGTCACAGAAGCACCCACACCATGAAAAAAAATGCGACTTGTTGTCCAAAAAACACGGTAAGACATAAACTGTATGATCCAGTTTCCAATTTTGGACTCACCATGTTTGATTTACTTTATTTAATATTTTTGCTCATTGTAGCTCTGCTTTTTGGGACCACAGCTTCTCAAAAACTGTAACTCAACAATACTTAACTCAAATTATTTTAGAATCCAAATCTAAAAACACGGAAAAGAAATCTCACAAGATAATTTTTCTCATGCGTGCATAATCTTTTGACAATTTGGTTTCACGAGATCTTGTCCCATCCCTTGTGCTGTAAACCCTCGTCCTTTTCTCAGTGAACTTCTCGATGACGTCTCCTGAAAATGTCTTCACTTCACAGCTGAAGAAATGCCAAGAATGCGAAACAGTGAGCATAACAAAGGCTGAAGGATATGCTAAACAATCTAAAACAAGTTATCAGATGAAGAGTAAAGGTAAAGCGCTTCACTGGGTCATGAAAAACTAAAAATAAATACCAGTACAGGTGCTTTACGAAGGTTAAACTTTGAAGCCTCAACAGAAAGTCGCCCTTAAAAATGGGTCGAAAAGGGACAAACTTAAAGCACACAGACCGAATTAAAAGTATTAAAAGTTAGTCCAAGTTAGTTTGAAAAAGAGGGAGATAGTTCTGAGTGAGTTTGAGTTTATTTTTGGTTTTCTACATTCCTCGCGCGTCAGTCGTAGCTTCGATGCCTCAGTGAGAATCTGCAAAGGAAATGATCAAGGGCGAGAAAAGGAGAACCGAAAGTCAAAACGCGTGTCCAAACTTTTGACGTGACTTTTTAATAATCTGATAACTCCAGAAATCAGATAAGGCTCAGATTTCTGGTGTGCATTTAAACATCGACGCGTGATTAAGCGTGAATGTTGGACACTACCTCACATTCTTCTTAAAATGGATAAAAAGAACAGATAAATCACACTGTTTTTGTATTTATTTTTATATTGTGCATGGAAAGTCAAGTTCTTTTTCTTTTGGCATCGCACAGATCCACACGCTTCATGCTTTTGTCTGTGTGTTTTCTTTTATTTTTCTCTTCGTTTGACTGTTTTTTTTTCCGGAGTCTTCTTCTGTATATTTGTGACGTTGTTTATGCCACACTCAGGGCCACACTGCGCTCCTCTGACGGATCAGGGGATGTACGGATATTTGTAAGGACGCTCTTCTGTTCCCCCCCATCCATCCCACATACCCACAATGCTTTGCCCTAGAACGCCATTTTAAGTTCTGTTGTGTCACCTGCGGCTGAACCTTCCTGTTTGTTGTAGGGTTAAGTTTGGTCTGATGTTCTGGGAGTAACAAAACGACTTATCTTAAAGAAGTTAACATTGCTGGAATTTAGGTTTATCTTGATTTGAGTCAAATGTTACAAAGTTTGCGAAGGTCACTTACCAGCAGAGTTAGTACAGTTTTGTATCAGAAATTTTCTTTCAAACAGTTGCAATGCTGTACTGAGCTGGCAGTGAATGACGTCAGTACAGCACAGCATTGTAATGTCTGACTATTTTGGAAGAAGAGACAAGAGGCTGGACTTCTAACCATGGAACTATAATAAAATCTGGAAGTTGAACTCAAGATGGCATCGTGTTGTTTTCAGTGGTCTGTGCTCACTGGCTCATGGGCTCAAAAATAATTTTCTCTCCCGCATTTGCTTCCTCAGTCCAGGCGAGCTCCGACCATCCGTGTGATTTCTGTAACGTGCACGGCGTGGAGCGTTTGGACCAATCAGCAAGAGCTGCTAGAGCGGAGCGAGCGCGGCTCACAGCGGCTCACAGCGGCTCACAGCGACAAGGCTATGTCTGCGTTCAGACTGCAGCCTGAAGTGACCCAAATCTGATTTTTTGGCCCCTATGTGACCTGTATTTGATATTTTAATGACGACACAGATCAGATTTTTTCAAATGTGACCCAGGACACTTGGATATGTGCTCCTAAAACCGATACATATCTGATCTTTTGACATGCGACTTCAGTCTGAATGGCCAAAGCGCATTCATCCACCTACACGTTATCAACAAGACACAAACGTCTATTCTGCACTGAAGTTGGCGAAAATTGTTAATGAACTCCGTGTTACTGAAGAGAAGCACATCACCACTCACCACTCTTGGCTCCATCTCCACATCCACATGTTCCTTTCAATGGACGTTGCTGCCGCGTTCCCACAAAACACCACGGCCAAAAACCTCGTCCTTCTCCTTCTCAATCTCCTCCTTAAAACAAGTAAGTTGTTCATGTTCTGGCTCCAGTACGAGAGGAACTTTAAAATCTCCAGATGTTCGATGCTGCGTCCATGTTCCATAAACACAGAGCACGCTCACTACGGTTGACGTCGTTGTGTCTCCAGTGCACATGTGGGACACTTTCAGGCCATTTACTGTTCACACTGGAGTCACATACAAGTCACATTTAACTGGAAATGTGAACGACCTCGCAAAAACATCGGATTTCACAAAAAAATCGGAATTGAGCGTTAAGCCCTGCAGTCTGAACGTAGCCTAAGTCTTATAATATAACTTTTAGGCAATTTGAGGATTTAAACATTTTAAAGTTGTATGTTGTGAAAATAGCAAAGAATCCTACAAAATCTGACCTTTGTGAAAGTTGTGGATGCCCTGTCAGCCCATGGATCTGTTAAAATAACTGGATAGTGTATTACTAGTGGACACTCAGTGGTGCTTCAGCGGAAAAACCTCCTGGGCCAAGACAGGATTGTTTTCATAGAACGCAATGTAATCACAAACTGCTCGTGTTCAGCTGACAAGGCACCTACAACTTTAAAAAATTTAGAATTTTGTGCAATTTTTACCTATTTTTAAATCATAAACTTTTTCTCAACTCAAAACCCTTCAGTTGTCTTTAAAAAACGTTTTATAATCGTTAGCTCCAGCTCCGCTCGGTTCGGCTCCTTTCTGCTCCTCTCGCTCTAATTGATCAAAGCGATCACGTGATACATAAGACCGCGCTCTGTGTGTGCGCTCGCGTGCGTTGGCGTGTGCCCGCGGGAGAAAAAAGACACTACTGCAAATGTTCAATCGGCCCAGAGCCACAGGAGGTTCCTCGCTGGGCTAAAGGCGAATCTGGAGTCACGCGCCATTGAGCTCAGCCCATTGACTTGAATGTGCGGCCATTTTAAAACCCCGCGGCTCGTGTCAGCCGAACACGGACAGTTTGAATTCCCAAAATGCATTGCGCTCTGTCGGAGAATTCTCCTGGATCTGCAGTACCTGGAGCGACCACTAGTCGATCTCGAGCCAGGACAGTTTTTAATTATAGATCCATGATTCTAACACAGGAGAAGTGTATTTACCGTTAGTACAGGACCCAGCACCTGGAGATATGAACCTCAACACTGTGATAGTGTTGTCCAGTCTGATCCTGTTGTAGGGAGTATTATACCTCTGGTGATGTAGGCCCAGATAAACAGCACAGCACAGCACAGTAGAGCAGTGCAACTTCTCTAACAATAAGATTAGCCTTTATTGTCCCTGTAGGTTATTTGTCTTTCCTGGGTCCAGATGGCCAGAAGGTCTGTGGAAAAAGATCTAATCTTGTCTGACGACGATGATTAAAAAAAGACAGAAATGTAAACCAAAATATAATTGGGTAATTCTGTAAGTCTGTTTTGTCCATGGCTCAAATCAAGATAAATATCCTTTATTCAAGAGATTTTAACTTTGTCATTTTTGTTTTTGTTGTCTCTCTGTAGCATCTGCTGCACTGTTACATAATTATAATAATAGTAATAATCCAACATGAGACTGTTTTAAAGTGAAGTCTCTCCGGAACATTCTATTCAGTCTCTGGCGCTGCACACAGAGTGAATACAGTAAAAAATGTCCTTGACTTTGTGACTGTGCTAAGTTTCCTCTAAATATGTTCTAATAATATACAAATATATAAGAGATGATAACTTGCATGCCGCCTTTCTGTTGTCTCTCTAACATATTCTCCTCAAAGTGAATATTTAGTTTGTCCCTGCAGGGCTGCCGTCCACAAAACTGACCAAGTGTAGAAAGGAGGATAGAGGCTCAGTGATGTTTCACCTGCAGATGCTTCAATAAAACACGCGGCACCTTTTATTTATTGATACTTTGCAGCTGATGTCCTCTACATTCCCTGCTAACTGGTGGCACTGCTCTGTCTGAAGCTCATTTTACAATTAATCTGAGCTTTGTTTTAACACAAATTGACCCTAAATAAATGACAAAAGTGAGCTGATTTGTGCTGTTAAACCTGAACAGCTAAAAGATTTGGTAATGATTTCTAACGTGTGCAGTAGGGAGCATCATTTGCCCAACACTTTGAAACATTTTTGAAAATCAATCTGTACCTAGTATCAGTTTTTTACACTTACACTTAGTAAAGTTCCAAGAGAAATTTCATGAAATTCTATTGATGTTTACTGGGTCCACCAAGCCCAAGTTTAATGCTTGTAGGAGCGTTAAATCTGAGCTGAAAAATCAAATTTTTCTTTAATAACATCCTTATCGTTTCTGGAAACTTGTGTTTACCAAACCCTGAGCCGTACATGTCATTGGGACGCACCTGTCACTGAGCCGTACCTGTCACTTGGACGCACCTGTCGTTGAGACGTTCTGGTGACGTCACACTCACTTACTCCACTTTTTTATACAGTCTATGATCACTACAGAAATAACAAACTTTATGTCTCTCATTTCATCTTTGGCCTTTATGGATATTGGATAATTATGAAAAAAAAACCACCCAAAATCTTGACGAAATGATCATATCTTAGAAAGTTATGAAGATAGAGATATAAAATTGGTACCAAAAGATGCACAGCAACAGCAACATTTATATTCAACTTTCACTGACACCATGGACCTAAATGGATTATTTTTAAAGTTATTTGAGAAAAACTGATTTTTCAGCCAGAGCTTTATGGACACCGGAACTTAAGAGTCTTGGTGGACCCAGTAGATTTTATTCAACTGAGCAGTTATTCCACACAACAGATTTTCTTTTAATTGGTATTGTCACATTTTATAATTGGGTACAAGTTGAATTTCTGACATCGGGGAAAATGATGCAGCCTAATGCGCACTGTATCAGTATTCAGAACTGCTGAACATTCCACCATAGACGTACATGTGAAAACCTCCCAGCGTGATGTCACTGCAAAGTATCGATATGTGTTCATTAAAATATAACAGAATTACAACAAACACTGGCACAAAATGACCCTGAATGTGTAGAGGACTGCATGGCTGCATGACGACTGTCCATTGTAGAAGTAATTGGATTAAAATAGTTGGCAGTGCTCTGGTAACTTTTTATTGTGTGTTCATTTAAACTTTTTTCTAAATGTGTTCACAGCGGGACAGTTGAGGAAGACTCCCCAAAGAAAACCAGACGGAGAGATCAAGCCTTATTCACTAATGGAGAGAGAAGGTAAATATGGAACTTAAACAAAACTATTCACTTTTAACTGAGAGAGAAGCTCATGGATCATCTAAAGAACAAAATCAGAATCAGGAATCAGGAGCAGTACCCACATGTTTAGTTAAAAGCAGCTTTTAGGGTTAAAATAAAACTGCTGTGTCACACTTGTTGTTAGACTTATACTTAGACAAACTTCATTGATCCACAAGGGAAATTATTTGGACACACGAGCTCACACATCATAATATAATATAATAACAAAGAGCAAAAATATAAATGGTGAAATAAATTTTAAATAAGTAGCAAAAAAAGAGCAAGAGACAGGTGTCAATTGTTGTACAGTTGTAGGGAGTATTATCTGTTACATATGGGTGAGTTGTTGTACAGTTGTGAACTGCACTTATGAACTCATGAATAATTAAGATGCTCTAAATGCATTAAGAAAGGAAGTGAGGAATAAGACCAGGGTCTAGGCTACACATGTTTGTAATGGACAGGAAAACCTACAGTCTTTCATAGCCAGACTATGTTACTGATACTGACTGAAAGATGTTTAACCAAAAACTTTGAGTGTAATTTATCATGATAATTGTATGACCTGGGTAATTCTCTTTGACTGTTCCGTTAACGGTGTCAGTAATCCTAATAATAATCACACTCTTAAGGGCCGTTCACGCCAAAGCGTCCAGTTTCTATGTAAAGTGTATGTGGATGTGTGACTGTGTTTTTGTGGCGCGTCTTCGGCGTCAGCGCAGCGCGAATCTGGTGTCGACGCAGCGCGTCTTGAGCGTTTTCACGTCGACGCTGTAGACGCACGTCCAAGGCGTCAGCGTCAAGAAGTTGAAAATCCTGAACTTTCCGCGTCAGATGCGCCGCGTCAACCAATCAGGGTCAAGTATCCAGTGACACAGCGACGTTATTATCAGGAAGAAAAACCCGAGAACCAGAGCGAGAACCACAAACATGAGAATAAATATATACACCACAATCACCGAGCCGATCGCGAGGACTACACCAGGACCGGACCAGCACTAAACCAGGACTAGACTGGGACTAAACAAGGACTAGACCGAGACTAGACCGGGACTAAACCAGGACTGATCCAGTGTCATTAGCGTAGTATAAATATATATACGCCCCAGTCGTCGACCCGATCTCCTCCGCTGATGTTTTATGTCATAAAAACACTCTTATTAGTCTGGTCTGACATTGTTTCGGGAAAAGACCGGGAACAGCTCTTGTTTCCAGGGCAACGGACGCACGTCAAGTATTTTTCTCCCGTTCGTCCACGGCGTCAAAGACGCGCGTCGGGGGAGTCTAAACTCAAATGCAAAGGCGTCCAAATAGAGGCGTCAAGGCGTTTTTTGACGCTTTGGTGTGAACGGCCCTTTAGGCTACATTCAGACTGCAGGGCTTAATGCTCAATTCTGATTTTTTTGTGAAATCCGTTTTTTTTGCGAGGTCGTTCACGTTTCCAATTAAATCCAACTTGTATGTGATCTCCAGTGTGAACTTTTAATGCCCCAAAAGTGTCCCCCGTGTGCTGACGTCACACACAGCGAGCGTGCTCAGTGTTTATGAAAGTCGTCTAAACACTGAGCTTGTCTCCCAAAATCTGGTCCAGTTCTTGGTAAAATGGACAGGTTACATGTCCTTTTGTTTGAGTCTTTAGCCTCCTCGTATTTGGCTTGCAGGCTCTTTATTTTTCATTGATATTGAAGCCAGGACCGTCCAAACGTAGCCTTAGATGTGAGTGTGAAACGTGTTTGAGACGACACCTGTAACTTCTTGTCCTCTCCCGTCCTTTCGTGCAGTGGTGCGTCAGGAGCAGAGGGTGCCCCCGTGGCCTTTTGCCCCTCCTCAGTCGCCCCAGCGGTGGGTATCCTCCCCGTACTCCCCCAGCTCCTCCCCCAGCAGGGCTCCCCGAGGAGGGGCCCCCGGAGGGTACAGCCCCCAGTCCCCCCTGCTGGAGCACTGCCGCACCAGACGCACCAGGTCAGAGCACACGACACACGACACACGACACATACGTTCTCTGTCAAATGTTATAATCCACTCATACATCATTGTGAATAATAAAATCTATGGACGTGGCAGCAGGGACTATTTATTTGTATTTTACCTTTGAGCTCCCATTGAGGTTCAGAATCTCTTTTTCAAAACAGACCCGGGCAAAACAGCAGCAACACAATCAATACAAAACAATACACAACACAGTCAAAGAGAGTGCCAATAAAAACCTTCTACAAACGAGCTAAATGTGAATTGGAAAGGCCACTCTGTCCGTCTTAGTCACATTTATGGAACAGCAGGTTTGCATTAGGGCTGAGTATTATTAAGAAGTTGCCGATACGATACATACCTTGATAAATAGGCCACAATACAATAAATATCTTGATACAGTGCACTTTTGATTCGACACAATATATTTCAAATTGATTTGATACGGTTCAATAGACTTTTTGTTAAACCACTTCTTGTGCAAAGTTAATGTGAAATACCCATTTTAATCATCAGAACAGTGAAAATGTCAAATGTGCTGCATACTGTAAATGAGTTCCTTCTTCTAAACAAACAGCAAAACTTTAGCGCTGTAACAAAATAATTTAGTAAAATACACCAAAAATACCCCACGATATCGATAGGGATGTAACAATAACCTAAATATAGTGATATACTATCATTAAAGTTCTCACAATAATATCGTGGACCATCACAATATATCGAATTACAAGTCTCTTTGCTTAACTACATAGACCATGATCCTTTGCTCCAATTGCTTCCATTTCACTGCAGACTACATGAAGAAATAAAAGTTCTAAGCACTTTTAATTCTTAGTTCTTTGGATTAAGTCTTGTCAAGGCATTTTAAGAGGAAAAAGTAGCATATTCACAGTTTTGTTCACAGCCTCCACAATATATCGCAATAAATGTCGTACTGTTAGATGTATATACTGAAAATATTGTACGGAGAGATTTAGATATTGTTACATCCCTCATACCGTGACGATATCGTATCGTGGCACTTGGATATCGTTACACCCCTAATTAAACCACTTCTTGTGCAGAACAGTGAAAATGTCAAATGTGTCACATAAATGAGTTTCCTTCCTCTAAACAAACAACAAAACTGTAGATGTAATAAAATATTTTAGTAAAATTTACCAAAAAATACTCTTGGCGATATATCGATACAGGAGCCCACGATATCGATACTGTATCATCACATCAAACTATATATCGATATTTTTGCACACCCCTAGTTTGCACGTGATGATTTCACAAAATAGAATTCAAACTTTTTTTTTTTTTTTTACATATGTAGAACATTTCAAAATACCAAAATCAAGCATAGGTGAAGTTTTGGTTTCAGTCACCAATTTTGTCCCAGAATGTCTGAAAATAGTTTACTGACACAATGATGTTCAGTAGTAACAAGGAAACTATGAAAGGTAACAGACTGCACAAAATGTAAAAGGAGCTGTTAACTTAAACTACCACTGCATGACATCACAAGGTGGCATCACAGAGCATTTTGAGCTTTGGAGATGCAGAGAACCTAATCATCCAGGGTTATTTGAGTGTGTGAATGAAACAAAACACAACTCCAGGTCTGTTTTTGATGATGTGACAGCATTATAACACGTCTTAAAGCTCACAAGAGTCAATTTTGTGTAATACAGGACCTAGAACTTGTCTTTTAGTGCAAATTATCAAAACAATAATATCAAGATATTAATTTTTATCTTCATTTTACACCTCTTGACCTGCAGACATCACACACATTTAACACAACAGTAGCTCTTCTCTTTAGCCGCTTATTCTCCTCCTCACATTTTTCTCACTACTGTCTCTCCTCCTCTCTTTCTTCATTCATAATCCTTTTTTTTTATTATCATTTCTCTATTATCAACATCACCCCTTCGCCCCATGGCGTTTAGTTCCCCTAGCAGAGCTAACCTGGGCTTCCACTGACCTCCTGCAGAGCCCGGTTCTCTGGTTTTGATGAATGGCCTGTTCAGGTGCACTGTGGGTAGAGGGATGATGGGGACTGAGCGGAGAGACGGAGGACACGTTCCAGAGGCCTTTTTGAACCCCGGTTGTTATGTGTTGATTGGAGACGGACCTGAGCGCTCTGTCCCGCTGCCTGCCTTTTGTAGCCATTAAAGTCTGACAGTCAAAAACTCCACACTGCAGTTTGACTTTTGTCGCGTTGATGTTATTGGGTTAGCTCCAGATGGGTTTAACTTAAAGAGCCGTTAAACGCCCTCCTGAAGCTTTATGCCACATTCTGTTAAATGTCAGTAGTGGATAAATCAGTGTCAGGCCTCCCGACATTGATTGTAAATGCGTTCCTTTGCAGCATTTGGGGAAAATAGAGATACTCGAGAAAGTGTAGTGTTTATTTTGTCGGCTTTTCCCGTATATGGTATGTAAAATGACACTTGTGACAGGCTCCCTTTAACTCACTAGGGCTACTGTACATCTGAATCTTCAAGAACTCAACCCTCACTCACGTCAGGTATCGCTCGCTCCTGCTAATAAAGAGCTCACTTCAGCTGTCGGCGACTCAATTATGGCAGTTTGACTTTTACATGTTATTAGGTTATTTTTTTCAGACCTAGAGTGTTATTTCATACCTGACAGTTTCAACTGCTCACTAGCGTCTTCCTCAGAGTCACGTGATGTTGCTGTGACGTGTCCGGTCAGCTGATTTAAACAGATTTTGGCGCTGTCTTCCTACCAGTGGAGGCAGGACGACAGCGCCATCTGCAGTCCGACTTCCTCAGGACAGCATCCCAGGTGTGTGAGAGTAAAAAAGCCCCCTCGTCCCGGTTTACAGTCCTGTGGGCACGTTTCCGTATTTCGATTGCTTCTTTAATCCATGCGGCGATGTTTGTTTTCCTCTGTCCCAATGATGTTTGCTCCATCCCAATCCATAACGTGGTTCTCTCTTTTACAATGGTCAGAAATGGCCGATTTGAGTTGTTCCTCTAGGTCTGAAAAAAAGAACCTAATAACATAGAATATCGGAAGACCAAATGAATCTCATTGGGCTATTGACTTTTACATGTTCAGAAAAAAAAACTTGTGTCGACTGTGAAATACTGTGAAGATACACAGTTTTACATCCACGTTTTTAGAGACAATTTCTCTACACAAACACAACTTAACACATCAAAATGACGAAAAGACAGTTCTCTCCGTTTACGGTGTGTGCCGACATTTGCTGTAAATCCAACCGACTCTGCACTAGGGATGGGCATGATTAGTCGATTAATCGATAATTGATCATTAAGAATTTCATCGATTACATACATTTTAATCGACAAACCGAATGTAGTTTACTGTGTGTAGTGTGATCAAACAATCCGTACATGTGTCTCTGCATCAGAAGGAGCGAGACACAAACAGTGGGTCAGTCTGCAACGTACCAAAGCACAAATGCGTATTTAACGATGATTTGTACAAGAAATTCCACGCTTTCCATTGCGTTCGGGACAAGTGTGAGTCCATGTGCACAGTCTACTAAGCAGGTACATATGTTTCGGTGTCCATTGGGAAAAAGTTTTTCCAGGTGAGAGTCGCGCAATGTGGATGACGAGTCCCCACCTCCCTCCCCCCGTACGGTGTCCTGGTTTTAACAAATGCAAATATGATCACACTAACCTGTATTCCACTAAGTCATGTCTTTTAATCCAACAGAAATTGAACCACATCAGCGACACAAGAGCTGTAGTTTTATCTTTGCTTAGTTTATGCAAATTAGCGATGCGGTTTTAAGTTTCGTTTCTGTGAGAGTTGCGCAAAACTGAATTAAACACATTATAATGTCAAACGGGCTGATGTGGCTCTAGAGTCGTTACGGTTTATTTGTCGTAAAGTTGAATTTATTTATGCAGATTAGGAGTGCAGATAGTAATAATAATGATGATCATTTTAATATAAAAACGTTAATGATTAATCGATAATCGAACGTTAATTCTCTCGACGATCGATTAAGAAAATGTCATCGAATGCCCGTCCCTAGTCTGCACCGATCTAGCCCGAGTTTGTGTTTCAGAACCCTGATTTGATTGGCCGTTCCATTGCACTTTCTCGAGGTGGAGCTCGGTTTTCCCCAAGTCCCGAGCACAATAGAATGCTTTATTACTCCGCCCCTAAGCAAAATCTGAAAAATCCTCCAGAGTGGGCGGTGCTCTGGAGCGATGATTGACAGTTGACCGACAGCCACAACAAACCAACACGGTATGGTGCGCTCTGAACTTTGAAACAGAGCGGACATTTGAGCTCGGATTATGCAGTTTCCCTTTTCTCCAGACAAAGCGGGACATTGCGGTGCCCGGTGGTGCCAGTTAGGGGCGGGGCTGAGAGGGGCTCCTTACATCCTGCCCGTAGACACCAGTGTCTGCGCTCTTCACGTAAAAACCTGCATCTGACTCACTAGTGGCTGTTAGTCCAACCCAGAAATTGAAATGTCCTGGCCGTAGTTGATCTTAAAGAGGCCGTTATAGACATAACTTTGACCCGAAAGTCTGATTTTGGACAAATATGCACTAAAATACCAAAATAAATCCAAGGATAGAAATACACTTTTATTTTAGACACATTTACACAGATAGTCAGTAGAAAAAAAGTGGTTATAGTGTTTAATGGCTCTTGAACTGTCTTGATTTCAAAATATTGTCTTATTTCAACCTGGAGAGACTCTGACAGACACAAAGTAGTAGTAGCTTTATTAAAATAGTTGTCTTTAGCACTCAGACAGAAGCAAAAGACATTACGATGAAGAGCATGGATGATTAGATGTTAGAGGTGAGGCCGAGGAGAGTGAATGTCAATAGTGGATAAATCAGTCAGTTCTCTCGACATCTGTTGTAAATGTGTTTCATTGCAACAGTCGGGGAAAATATGGATCCTCGAGAAAATTTAATGTAACGTCAGGTATCGCTAGCTCCTCAATTATGGCAGTTTGACTATTTCATGTTCATGTAAGAAACTTGTGTAACTGTCAAACGATGTGAAAGAAAGTCTAAATGTCACTACAGAGTTTTTAGAAGACACAAACACAACTTAACACATCAAAATGACAAAAAGACAATCCTTCCCGTTCACTGTGTGCGCCGACGTTTTTGCTGTGACATAAATCCAACCAACGTCTGCACCGAACTAGCCCGAGTTTGTGTTTCAAAATCTCGATTTGATTGGCCGTTCCATTGCACTTTCTCGAGGTGGAGGTCAGTTTTCCCAGAGTCCCGAGCACAAGAGAATGCACTGTTACTCCACGCCGAAGCAAAATCTGAAAAATCCTCCAGAGTGGGCGGTGCTCTGGAGCGATGATTGACAGTTGACTCACAGCCACAACAATCCAACACGGCGCGGACCGGTGCTCTTCGGACTTTGAAACAGAGCGGACGTTTGTGCTCAGATCTCGCCGATCATCGCCCTTTAACCTGCATCTGACTCATTGGCAGCAGTTAGTCCAATCTGAAAACTCAAATGTTCTGGCCGTAGTTGATCCTAAAGAGGTCGATACAGACACGACTTTGACCCAAAAGTCAAATTTTTTTAACATATATGCACTAAAATGCCAAAATAAGGCCAGGGACATAGTAGGGATGGGCATGATTAATCTATTAATCGATAATTGATCATTAAGAATTTCATCGATTACATTAGTTTTAATCGACAAACCGAATGTAGGTTGCTGTGTGTAGTGTGACCAAACAGGTGTGTACATGTGTCTCTGCATCAGAAGGAGCGAGACACAAACAGTGGGTCAGTCTGCAACGTACTGAAGCACAAATGTGTATTTAACGATGACTTGTACAAGAAATTCCACACTTTCCTGTTGCATTTCGGGACAAGTGTGAGTCCATGTGCACAGTGTATAAAGCAGCACATATGTTTCTGTGTCCAGTGGGAAAAAGTTTTACCAGGTGAGAGTCGCTCAATGTCGATGACGAGTCCCCACCTCCCTCCCCCCGTACGGTGTCCTGGTTTTGACAAACGCAAATCTGGTCACACTAACCTGTATTCACCTGAGTCATGTCTTTTAATCCAACAGAAATTGAACCACATCAGCGACACAAGAGCTGTATTTTTTATCTTCGTTTAGTTTATGCAAATTAGTGATGTGGTTTTAAGTTTTTGTTTCTGTGAGAGTTGAACAAAACTGAATTAAACACATTATAATGTCAAACGGGCTGATGTGGCTCTAGCGTCGTTACGGTTTATGTCGTAAAGTTGAATTTATTTATGCAGGTTAGTAGTGCAGATAGTAATAATAATGATGATCATTTTAATATAAAAACGTTAATGATTAATCGATAATCGATCGTTAATTCTTCCGACAATCGATTAAGAAAATTTCATCGAATGCCCATCCCTAGGACATAGATAGACTTCTGTTTTACACACATTTACACAGAGAATCAGTAGAAAAAAAGTGATGTTGGTGTTAATGGCTCTTTAACTCTCTAGATTTCAAAATATTGTCTTATTTCAACCTGGAGAGACTCTGACAGACACAAAGTACTAGTAGCTTTATTAATTTAGAGTTCTTTAACACCGAAACAGAAGACACAGAAGATGAAGAGCGTGGCTGATTAGATGTTAGAGCTGAGAGCGAGGAGAGTGAAGCAGACTATGAGATGATGAGGGGGTGAAGGGATTGTGGAGGAGGGGGTGGGGCTTGGCACGAACGAAAGCGGCCGTGCGTCTGTAATGGGGGTTTAAATTGGGCACACTGGACGCTGATTGCGCGAGGAGGAGGAGGAGGTGCGGCGAGGAGCAAGGAGGAGTATTTGGAGTGAGGGACAAAGGTAAACTCTGGAGAAGGCGGGAGCGAAGTTAAGTCTCAGGTTGAATTTACGCCAGCTCCGTTTGAATGTTGAATGAAAGCAGCGCTTGGAGGAAGCAGATGGAGGTGGAAAGTCACCAGCGCGATTCCATGGAAGTGGAAAGTTAAAACCGGACTTTGGAACGGTCTCACTGGAGAATATTACAGCCAAAGGAACAACAATTCCATGGAAACGAAACGAGCAGGAAGAGGAAGAGGCCCTCCTTCACACCAAATAAGAATCTGTCTTGTGGAGATGCATTGTATATTTTTTTATTTTTATTTATTTTCCATACATTCCAAAGAACTTTTAATTTATTTTTTAACTGTCCACTCCAGTTTGACCTGTGCGGTACCGTCAAAGGATCTGTGTCTTTTTTTATAAAGGGGTCACAAAGGAGGAACGTTTATTATTTGCCTCAAAATTCTGAAAAAAAATAAAATTAAAGCAGCAGTTTAGTTTGATGTAGCTCACTGGGAAGAGGTTCTGAAGACTTAGACTTAACACCAAAGAGAAAAAAATATATTGTAAAAATAAATTCTAAATAAGTAGCAAAAAAATAAATAAATTTTAAAAAAAAGGGACAGGTGTAAAAATAGTCAAAATAAAATAGAAAATAAGTAATAAATAAAATCTGCTACATAAGGCTGAGTTGTACAGTTGTGGGGAGTATTATCTGTTACATAAGAGTGCATTATACAGTTGTAGGGAGTATTATCTGTTACATAAGGCTGAGTTGTACAGTTGTGGGGAGTATTATCTGTTACATAAAGGTGAGTTGTACAGTTGTAGGGAGTATTATTTGTTAGATAAAGGTGAGTTGTTGTATAGTTGTAGGGAGTATTATCTGTTACATAAGGGTGAATTATTGTACAGTTGTAGGGAGTATTATCTGTTACATATGGGTGAGTTGTTGTACAGTTGTAGGGAGTATTATCTGTTATATAAGGATGAGTTGTTGTACTGTTGTAGGGAGTATTATCTGTTACATAAAGGTAAGTTGTTGTACAGTTGTAGGGAGTATTATCTGTTACATAAGAGTGAGTTATACAGTTGTAGGGAGTATTATCTGTTACATAAGGATGAGTTGTACAGTTGTAGGGAGTATTATCTGCTACATATGGGTGAGTTGTTGTACAGTTGTAGGGAGTATTATCTGTTACATAAGGATGAGTTGTTGTACAGTTGTAGGGAGTATTATCTGTTACATATGGGTGAGTTGTTGTACAGTTGTAGGGAGTATTATCTGTTACATAAGAGTGAGTTATACAGTTGTAGGGAGTATTATCTGTTACATAAGAGTGAGTTATACAGTTGTAGGGAGTATTATCTGTTACATAAGAGTGAGTTATACAGTTGTAGGGAGTATTATCTGTTACATAAGAGTGAGTTATACAGTTGTAGGGAGTATTATCTGTTACATAAGTGTGAGTTATACAGTTGTAGGGAGTATTATCTGTTACATAAGAGTGAGTTATACAGTTGTAGGGAGTATTATCTGCTACATAAGAGTGAGTTATACAGTTGTAGGGAGTATTATCTGCTACATAAGAGTGAGTTATACAGTTGTAGGGAGTATTATCTGCTACATAAGTGTGAGTTATACAGCTGTAGGGAGTATTATCTGCTACATATGGGTGAGTTGTTGTACAGTTGTAGGGAGTATTATCTGCTACATAAGTGTGAGTTATACAGCTGTAGGGAGTATTATCTGCTACATATGGGTGAGTTGTTGTACAGTTGTAGGGAGTATTATCTGCTACATAAGAGTGAGTTATACAGCTGTAGGGAGTATTATCTGTTACTATTACATAAGGGCGAGTTGTTGTACAGTTGTAGGAAGTTGTCGGGTCCATTTAAAAGTCTGAATGAAGTGTCTTGCCCAAGGACACAACCGTACGCAATAGACTGAGCTGGGATTGACCCGCTGAACTTCGGGCAGGAGGGCGATAGTTCAACCACTGCGGCCCCGTGTTTTAAACTAATACTCCGTAATCAAACAGCATTCTCTTCATACTCTTATGTTCTAATTACACATTATCACCCATCGTTTCACTTTGAGTTTGTGTTTCTGTTTCTGTTGTTTCTTTTAAGTTGGATGCATTTGTTTATTTGCATTGCCCCCGCTCCCTCCTTCTCTCTCCGTCTCTTCTGTTTGTTTTTCCTGTTCCTTCGTGTGCAGCTGCAGTCTCCAGGGGTTGGTGGCTAAGAGTTCTCTGTACAGTCGGCATCTGGACCAAAGTTCTGTCAATCAGCTGGAGCGACCGATGCCAGGTAATATAACATAAACCATATTTTTAGGAGTATAAGTCACACCAGCCAAAAAATGCGTAATGAAGAAGAAAAAAACATATATAAGTCGCACTTTTGGGGGAAATTTATTTGACAGACTGTTAACGTCACATATGAACAGTTCTTCAGATAAACTATAACATAAACAACAGAACAGAACAAGTTTAAACTCTCCATCTCACTCCAAATCACTAAATCCATTCAATTCTTCATCCTCGGTGTCACTTCTGAACAACTCCTCGACCTCCGGAGGTAAACAGACGCCGCTTCCTCTTCTGTGTCGCTGTCGTCAGACTCAGCGTCAGTTCCAGTTAGAATTATTCCGGTCTTATCACTAATAACCAAAATATGTACTTTTATTTTTATTTATTTCCACTGGGTTGGAGTGGTAAACAGGGGCATGGTGATAGCTTCTACCAGTACAACAGTTTCTTTTAAAGCCCCATTGCGTAGCTTTTTAGCTAAAATATGCACTAAAATAAAATCAGTCAGCACAATAAGTCGCACCAGCCAAAAAATGTGTAATGAAGAAGAATAAAACACACTTTTTGGGAGGAAATTTATTTTATAAAATCAGAGACCAGGAATCGACATTTCCTGTTAAAAGTCAAGTTCTAGTAAAAACAACAGAACAGAGAACAACAGATCTGAACTCGCGAGAGTGAAACTGAGAAAAATTACTTCAGAGTTTCTGTTTTGTTCAGACAGGTAGGGCTCCCAAAATTTCACAACTACCGTATTTTTCGGACTATAAGTCGCTCCGGAATATAAGTCGGACCAGCAAAAAAAATGCATAATGATGAAGAAAAAAAGTCGCACCGGACTATAAGTCTCACTTTTGGGGGAAATTTATTCTATAAGCAACAACAACAGACTGTTAACGTCACATATGAACAGTTCTTCAGATAAACTATAACATAAACAACAGAACAGAACAAGTTTAACAAACTCTCCATCTCACTCCAAATCACTAAATCCATTCAATTCTTCATCCTCGGTGTCACTTCTGAACAACTCCTCGACCTCCGGAGGTAAACAGACGCCGCTTCCTCTTCTGTGTCGCTGTCGTCAGACTCAGCATCAGTTCCAGTTAGAATTATTTCAGTATTTCTGAATCTCGACAGGATGGTTTCGGTGTCACTGAAGTCCAGGCTTTGTCCATCCATCCAGTGACTTCAGGAAAGTTTCATGGTGCATCCTCCCGGTGTCACAAGTTTCTCGCTCACTCCAAACTTTCTTTCTGCTGCTCGATTACCGTTTTCGGCTGAATATTTCACGACTTGCAGCAGGACAGAGGCTCTTTCTACAGGAGACATGCGCAGTAGAGGACGAAGTGACAGTGGTACAGGAGGAACAGGAGCAGCAGATACTCACACACAAGACTAGAGCCTCTCGACGCTTCAGTGTGAAAATTTTAATATATAAGTCGCACCGAAGTATAAGTCGCAGGAAACACCCAAACCATGAACAAAGTGCGATTTATAGTCCAAAAAATATGACATTTAGCTGATTAAGATGTGACACCATGACTTTCTGATGCACTGAATTTAGGGTTGTTCATTATCTGTAATCCATCATTCGTCAAAATTTCAGTAGAAAGAAAAGGCTTGAAAGCTTCACTCTCTGTGGGTTTGACTTTCTGAAATGAGACAAATATTGAACTTTTTCAGGATATTCTCATTTTTTTTAGATGGACTAGTAGCTCAAAATTAGTATCAACGTTCGCTTTGAGACACAAACATTTCCCTTTCTAAAAACGGAAGTGTCCTCCGGGGAAGTATTCACCCATAACTCTCTGTCCACTGCCTCATCTGTAAATATTTACTCTTTTCAGCGTGACTAGTCAGGAAGCAGTGACGTTAACACACTGAGCTCGCCGCTTGTTTGAAATATTTATATAATAATTTTACTGTTTTTGAGCCAAATAGCTGCGATTCTAATATTTGCCATAATGGATCAGTCCAAATATGGGACAGAAGTATGAATCAGATCAGAATCAAACACAGGTGTAGTTTTGATTTTTGTTTTTTACCTAAGATGGAGAAGGAGCTTTTCAAACGCTGTTCAAAGTTTTTACAAATGAGTCCTGTTTGTGAAAAGATGGTTCAGGACATGTTTGGCATTTTGCGTTTTAGAAGTGCTTTTTAGTCTCACCTTTTGTGTTATTTTGTCTCGTGCAGGTCTGAGAACGCCGTGGGCCCAGTTTGGATCAGACTCTGTGAACTCGGCTCAGAACAGGTACGCACAAGAGATCTCTGAATGAAACAAACAACCAAATTCAAATCTTTGCCCATAAAAACCTGTCAGACTCTTGTCCCAGTCTACAGCAGGTCAAAGAACCGAGCAGGTGGCGGTGAGGGGGCGTCGACACGAGTATCAAACAAACATGACACCAGAATCGAACTATCGAATATTATATAAAATCCTGTTTCGTCCCAAATAAATCCTAAATCGTGTCTAATTTAACACATGTATTGTAACACATATATTGGCTGTTTCTTACGTCATGCAGTTGAACGCCTCTCCAGTCTGCGCCTAAAGTAAAACAGACTTTTCCAGATGTTCTGAGATTCCAGTCGTAGTATTTTGAAGGATTAAACCGAATAAAAAATTGAGATTGACACCAACTGAGTCCTACTGTTATTTTGTGTCATAATTGCAAAACTGCAAAAAGTAATATCTAAGTTTAAATGACTTTTTTTTGCATTACACTTCAGTAGATTTTTGTAGATTTGACTTGACAAGTAAAATTATCTACCAATGGAATATCATATTTTCTGCACTATTAGACGCATTCTTAAGCCTCCAACCCCATCAAAAAACGACTGCGCCCCACAATCCAGAGCGCCATATACACGACTCCACTCAGGTGTCGCAGCACGACTTCAGTAAACTACAAAGCCACAAACACACACGGAGCAGACAGCGACCGCACAGCGAAAAACACCCACAGACACACTCATCACTCCACGCCGACGAGGAACGGAACGGAGGAACGAACCGAAAAACCGAGTCCAATGTGCCACTTCTAGACACGACTGAACAACTGAATCACTGCGAACACGCCGACAATCCGTTGGTCCCAGACAGCACCTCCCTACACACCACAACTGAACAAACCCAGAGTCACCGTGAATGAACAAACAAACAAAACCACTCACCCATCACACTGTTGTGTTTCATTTAAAGTCCCACGCGGTTTATTTGTAAAAAAAAGTTCAAAAATAGACCATTTAATGACAGTGCGTCTTATAATCCAGAGCCCTAATAATCCCTATAGTGCGGAAAATACGGTAAGTCTTTCCTTCCGCCAAGATAAGTTTTAGTTTCTTGTTTTAAATGCCAAGAGTTGTTGTTTTTTTATCTTCAAAGTGATTGCATTTACATATTTCAAGTAAGTACAAAAAGACGTGTTCCACTGGTAGATAATTTTACTTCTCATGCGAAATTTACTCAAATCAAGTCAACCTTTTCATATTTAAAGTCATTTTAACCTTGGAAGATTTAACTTTTCGAACAGTACCTCTAAAAGTGATCAGTCTCAACACGTCTTTTTTTTGTTTTTTTCTCATGTTTTGTCCAGGTTGTCCTCTTTGCCGCCCGTTTCTGCTCCAAAGACGTCTACACGAAGTCAAACATCTGTGAACGACAAACACTCCACCTCCACCAGCTCTGAGGAGGACTTCAGACCTACACAGGGTCAAGACCAGAATCTAGACCAAAGACCAGACCAAAACCAAAACCAGGAGCCAGCATTAGGACCCCACGTGGACCCGAAGCCCGTCCCTGTGGTCGGACCTTCGCAGAGACGAGGGGACAGTGGGTGGACGTGGACAGTGGGACAGAACATGTTCACAGCTCAGTGGGTCAAACAGAAGCAGCAGTACAGGAGCACACGTCCATGGTGACCGCACGAACTCCCCATCGAATAATACTGACGATTATAAATGTACAAAGCAACTGCAGTCTCAGGTTATGAAGTATAAATCAGTAATAACCAAAATATGTACTTTTATTTACTGCTACTGGGTTGGAGTGGTAAACAGGGGCATGGTGATAGCTTCTACCAGTACAACAGTTTCTTTTAAAGCCCCATTGCGTAGCGTTTTAGCCAAAATATACACTAAAATAAAATCAGATACCGTATTTATCAGTCTCACCAGCCAAAAAAATGTGTAATGAAGAAGAATAAAACGCACTTTTTGGGAGGAAATGTATTTTATAAAATCAGAAACCAGGAATCGACATTTCCTGTTAAAAGTCAAGTTCTAGTAAAAACAACAGAACAGAGAACAACAGATCTGAACTTGCGAGAGTGAAACTGAGAAAAATTACTTAAAAGTTTCTGTTTTTGTTCAGACAGGTAGGGCTCCCAAAATTTTACAACTACTGTATTTTTCGGACTATAATATATAAGTCGGACCAGCAAAAAAGTGCATAATGATGAAGAAAAAAGTCACACCGGACTATAAGTCTCACTTTTGGGGGAAATTTATTTTATAAGCAACAACAACAGACTGTTAACGTCACATATGAACAGTTCTTCAGATAAACTATAACATAAACAACAGAACAGAACAAGTTTAACAAACTCTCCATCTCACTCCAAATCACTAAATCCATTCAATTCTTCATCCTCGGTGTCACTTCTGAGCAACTCCACGACCTCCGGAGGTAAACAGACGCCGCTTCCTCTTCTGTGTCGCTGTCGTCAGACTCAGCATCAGTTCCAGTTAGAATTATTCGTGTCTTTCTGAATCCCGACAGGATGGTTTCGGTGTCACTGAAGTTCAGGCTTTGTCCATCCATCCAGTGACTTCAGGAAAGTTTCATGGTGCATCCTCCCGGTGTCACAAGTTTCTCTCTCACTCCAAACTTTCTTTCTGCTGCTCGATTAACGTTTTCAGCTGCAGATTTTGCTACTTGCAACTTGTAATCTGCAGAATATGATTTTCTTTTTCGGTCTTCTCAGTCGTCTTCATAAGTTTGTTTAAATTGGTGCTGAAGTAACGGTGCGATCGACTGACATGATACAGACAGGACAGAGGCTCTTTCTGCAGGAGACATGCGCAGTAGAGCCAAGTGACAGTGGTACAGGAGGAACAGGAGCAGCAGCAATGTCAAAATTTTAATATATAAGTCACACCGGAGTATAAGTCACAGGAAACACCCAAACCATGAAAAAAAGTGCCACTTATAGTCCGAAAAATACGGTAGATATTTTCATGATGGATGTTTTTATTGCACTAAAAAAGACGTACTGTGAGTGGACTTGTATCGTCACACACTGGACTCATCTGCTTGTTGCCATGGAAATTGTGTTGATTTAGAAATGTCAAAAACTGCAGTCATGCCAAATCTGTCCGTTCAGTTTATTTTTTTTTTATTTCTTTTCCATTGTGATTAATGTTGAAGGCCAAATGAACCATTCCTTTGTTTATTCGACAAACACGATTCTGCGACAGTGTTCAGCTTGATCTTCACATCTGTGCCTAGAATGTTTGGGCCAGCGTATTCTACCTGAAATAAATAAAATAAAATACTAAATATGAGCCAAAAACGTTTAAAAGCCATAAAATGTTTACAGAGGAGCCTGAGTTAAAGTCGCTGTATCTGATTTTTACAAGAACAAATGGTCCAAAGTCATTTCTCACTTGTTTTATATATTCAGAGTAATTTGTTTCTAAGCACTTTTCACAACTTTCAGACACAACAGCGAAGAAACTTTAACAACTAGCATGCTAAAGGTGCACTTCCTGATTCTCTGACAATAAAAAACTATAATCAGAAGCTGCTTATACAATATATCTGTACTGGAGCAAGACAGAAGTTGCTCAAAACAAAAAACTTGGGCTGAACCTGGAATAAACCTGGAATAAACCAGGGCTAAGCTTGGGCTACACCTGGACTACACCGGGCTACACCTGGGCTACACCTGGGCACCTGGGCTACACGTGGACTAAACCTGGACTAATCCTGGAGTAAACCTGAACTAAACCAAGTCTACATCCGAACCAAACCAGAACCAAGACAAGTGTCAACAAAACCAAAATATTACTTATCTGAAGTCTAAACCTGGGCTAAAACTCAACTAAACCTTAACTAAACCTGGTCTAAACCTGGTCTAAACCTGGACTTGACCTGGACTTGACCTGGATTTAACCTGTGCTAAACCTGGGCTTAACCTGGACTACACCTGGACTACACCTGGGCTAAAACTCGACTAAACCTTAAGCAAACCTGGTCTAAACCTGGTCTAAAACTAGACTTAACTTGGACTAAACCTGGACTAAGCCTGGGCTAAACTTGGGCTACACCTGAATTACACCTGGACTACACCAGGGCTACACCTGGACTAAACCTGGGCTAGACCCGGGCTAAAACTTGACTAAACCTGGACTAAACCTGGACTAAACCTGGACTAGACCTGGACTAGACCTGGACTAGACCTGGACTAAACCTGGACTAAACCTGGACTAGACCTGGGCTAAACCTGGGCTAGACCTGGGCTAAAACTTGACTAAACCTGGTCTAAACCTGAACTAAACGTGGTCTAAACCTGGACTAAACCTGGACTAAACCTGGGCTAGACCTGGGCTAGACCTGGGCAACACCTGGGCTAAACCTAGTCTAAACCTGGGCTAAAACTCAACTTAACCTGGTCTAAACCAATGCTAAACCTGGACTGAAACTGGAACTGAAACTGGACTAAACCTGGACTAAACCTGGACTAAACCTGGACTAAACTTGGACTAAACTTGGACTAAACTGGACTAAACCTGGACTAAACCTGGACTAAACCTGGTCTAAACCTGGACCAAACCTGGTCTAAACCTGGACTAAACCTGGATTAAACCTGGATTAAACCTGGATTAAACCTGGACTAAACCTGGACTAAACCTGGACTAAACCCGGACTAAACCCATTCTCCATCCCAACCAAACCAGGACTAAACCAGAACCAAGACAAGTGTCAACAAAACCAAAATATGACTTATTATTTTTATTAATTTATTTGAGAGACTGAAGTGAATTCTGTGGTGAAATGTTTACACTGTTGTCATGTTCACTGTTGAAAACTCTTGAATCTTTTGTACGATTTTCCATAAACAAAACTAATTTATAAGATGAAATAAATATTTTCCTAAGTACAGGTTTGTGTGATTTTTGTAGAAAATGAATTAAACGCGTGACAATGTGGGTAAAGAAATGTACGACGACTTTGAAGGGCGACAGACTCTGAATCTGAACTCGTTTTCATTTAATCTTAATATTTTGACTCAAACGCTGCCAAGACTTAGTATTTATTCAAACAGAAATTATTACTTTCTAATTCACTGGAAAATATAATAATTTAGTAGGAATTTCAATTTAGATACTTTTTTTTCTCTCATATACTGGTTATGGTCCAATATTTAAAGGAAAAGTATGACCGTGTCTCTTTCCTCGCTTCCTTCTCCTTGATTCGTCTCCTGGATCCTTAATATTTCAGCTGTCAATCAAAAGTGTCATATTAAGTTGTGTCCTGAAGAAAACTATAGAATGAAGGAGTGGGTATGCGTGATGTATGTGAAGCAAACGCGACGTGAGCAGATCTGACCAGAGTTTTGCGTCTTGGGCAGTGTAGACGGAAACGCTTTGGCAGAGCATATTGAACTTTTCCACTCTGGAGGGTGGTTTTAGATTTTTGCATTTTTAAGCCCCAAAAACGCTGTCAGCGTCTAAACGAAAGGCACTTCTGATAAAATATGTTTTTACCCGCAAGTGTTCTTGTGTAAACAGGCTTTCAGTGAGGAGTCCCTGTATCTCCTCTGTGGGCAGGACTTACACATTTCCTGCAGAATCGAGGAGAGGAAGCAAGGAAAAGGAGGCGAGGAAGGCAAGGCAAGTTTATTTGTACAGCACAATTCATACACAAAGTAATTCAAAGTGCTTTACAGAATAAGAAATACATTAAAATCGTAATAAAAACAAATCAAAACATAAATAATCATGAAGATTAAAATTAAAAAAGAGGGACATAAATTAGAGAGAAGAGTGCGGAATGAAAACCTTTCAGTTATTTGCACAGTTAAACAGAAATGTTTTGAGTCTGGATTTAAACAGCGTCACAGAAGAGTTTGTCTCACATGTTCAGACTGTTCCAGGTTTTAGCTGCATGAACCTGAAACTCTGACTCCCCTTGTTTAGTCGTGACTCTGGGCACCAGCAGGAGTTGGTCCCTGAGCTCCTCAGAGTGTGAGATGTTCATATGACACTAACATGTCACAGATGGACTTTGGTGCTCGGCCATGGAGAGACTTGTACACAAGCAGAGCTGCTTTAAAGTCTCTGAGCCACAGGAGCCAGAGCAGAGACCTGAGACCAGGACTTATGTGCTCGTACTTCCTAGTTCGAGTCAGGACCCGAGCTGCAGCGTTCTGGATGTTCTGGATGTTCTGGATGTTCTGGATGTTCTGGATGTTCTGGATGTTCTGGATGTTCTGCAGCGTCTCACAGCTCGTTTGGAGAGACCAGTGAGCAGAACATTACAGTATCTAATCTACTGGAGGAAAGAGAAATGAGACCTGGTCTATGAAACCTGCACCTTACAATCGCACCTAAACCTGTGTCTCCAGAGCCTTAACCTGCAGATAAAAGACACATCCAAGTTTGTCTCATTCTCAGTTTATGTTCAGGCCTCATGTGAAAACTCCAGAATTCCCTTCCTGAGCTGCAGAGGCTGCACTAGCACTGACTCATGTTTGTCTGCAGGTGCCAGGGTTTAGGTCAGGGGTGTCAAACTCATTTTGGTTCGGGGGCCGTATCCAGCCGACTTTGATCCTAAAGGGGCAGGATCAGAAAACTCATGTCATATAAACCCCAAAAATAACAATAAGTTAAAATATTTGTGCAGAGAAACACAAATCTATTACAGAAATCTTTTTTAATTGATGAACTCTTTCTTTTACAAAATATTATAATATATATGAAAAAAAAATGCTATTTCAACACAATGTTTTAACATTAACTTGTTTGCAAATAGGAATAAGTAAATTTTTGTTGTAAAATTCTGCACTCGGCTTCACTTTTCTCATTTTTGACATTTTGCTGATGAGGGTGTCACGGTCAACAGTCAAAACGATCGTCCTTTAAGAGTGTTTGGAAATAGACAAGTCTTCATTTGTGCTGCTCTGGTGGGAGGGGCCACGCACAGAGGCACAGGAGACACTGCTAAGCTAAGTGGAACAGAAAATTACCAATATTTTAATAGAAAATATGATTAAAATATTTTAGTAGAAAATCAGCTGAGGGCCAGATTAAAGGTCTTGGAGGGCCGGATCCGGCCCCCGGGCCTTATGTTTGACACCTGTGGTTTAGGTAGAGACCACTGAGATCAGAGCGAGACAATTTAGATTTAAACCAACGGGAAAGGAGACTCGTGAGGCTCATTCTGCTTTCTGACTGGATAATCGTCTGGAACCAAAACACAAAAAAGCTCTATTCACGTTACGTCACAAACCAGGAAGACGTTTGGAAACACGATGAAACTTCCGGTGTAGTTCCCAACACTGGGCTATTTTAACATAAAAACTTGCCCATCCTGTCCAATGTTTTGTAATTAAGAATGTGGAGACTATTTGTCAATGAAACTAACAAACAAAAGCAGTGAGCAAACTAAACTTTTAACAACAAAAAGTCTTGTTTCACTGGCAGATAATTTTACTTGTCAAGTGAAATTGACTCAAATCATGAAACTTTCTTAATTCAAGTCATCTGAACGTGGTTAGATTTTACTTTTTGCAGTGTAGATAAGTTTAATGCCTTAAACACCTCCACCAGAAAACTCACACAACGCACTTTTATTACATCTTTTACTGATAACAATTGTAATGCTGATTTATTCTTAATTACAAACGTCATTTATTTTTGTTATAATTTGATATTTTAGTCTCAGAATGATTCAGAATGAGCCTCACACGAGTCTCGCATTTGCGTTGCCAGTTTCCGCGCTGAAATCCAGCAGTGTTCAGGCAGGTTCTTTTGCAAAATGAAATTGAATTCTGTGACCTGGACAAACGTTCTGGAGCGAATCCATTTTGCCATTCATCCAAGAGGCTTCTTCACAGTTGCAGCCAGGTACGTTCAGTGACGGGATTCTCGTCTCTTTTATGGGATCTGAATGTTTTCGATCGGTTCATTTCAAAGACCGGCTCCTTTTACTGTTTAATTATTTCATGTCAATAAGTCATTTTATGTACAAACTATTCACAGAGAGAAAAGTGCAAGGGTCAGATCTGTTTTAAATGGTTCAAAATGAGAGTGGGATGGTTTTTACTCTTTGAAATTATGAAAATCTAATTAAAAAAACAGATATGTTTTTTTAAATGCAAGAACTGGTGTTGCCTGATCTGCTTCTGTTCAGATTCTTGTGTTGGTTCTGGGTTAATCAGTATAAAAATAAAAATCCATGAAAATTAGAAATAAAAAGATTTGGTTCTTAAAAATAAAAAAAATTGGATCAAATTTGCACCATTCACCCAAAGGAACCATTCGAAAGAGATCAAGACTCGTTCACGAACTTCACATCACTACTACATCACAACATAAGTGAAAACAAAGGGGAAAAAATCCTGAATGATGATAAATGATAAACTTCTGTGCCTTCTTTATCAATATTATTAGTTTGTACGACCCTAAACGAAAATGTATGTATGTATGTATGTATATATGTATGCATGTATGTATGTATATATGTATGCATGTATGTATGTATGTATGTGGAGTGTATGTGGTGAAGTGGGCGGAATGAAATGTGGGATTGTTTTTAATCACTGTAAAGCAATTTGTGTTACATTTTTTTATGAAAAGCTCTTTATAAATAAAGTTTGATTCATGTATGTATGTAT